TGCGTCTATACCTGCACTCCGGCGCTGAATGTGACATGAATGTTATCGAACGCGACAGACGCCATCTTGGAGGTTCAGAGAGCCATCAGCAAAGTGGGTGACCTTGGGAATGTCGCCGCTATCATCGCTCCTCATCGCTTCACTCTCGGCAAACAAACCCGCAAGATAATTAAACAAATGGTGAGCGGGAGCTGATAGGACTCGGCACCGCGTAAATAATCATCCTTCAGCAGCCCGCCATTATTAAATATTTAACCAGCCAGGCTGAAATGTGAAAGACGGAAAACAAATAATGAAGGAAGGGAAGTCTCTGGGGAGGGACGCATTCTCCGTCATCTTCACCAGAAGTAGACCCAATCTCCATGCTGGGCCATCGGGAGCAATGCGTCTGGCCCAAAAATAATGCAACTTGCTATAATAAATAGAGATTTTTTTTTATTCATGTCGAAGGTAAACTTAAGTTTTTTTTATTGGCAAACTCCAGGCAGACATACAGTGTGAGACACACATTAGTGCAGCTCTGTATGCAGTAAACATACCGGCGTACCTCAGTTTACGAACGCCTCGGTTAAAGTAATTTTCGTTTTACGAATGAAAATCCATTAAAAATAATGCCCGGTGTAGGAATTTTTTTCGCAATACAAACTGATTAATTGGCTTTCAATGCATTTATGAATTGTTTTTTAATCATGTCCCTGTACAGTATTTATGCCTTTATAAAGAGTTTTGAACAGAAGACTTTTTTTGACTTTTTTTCTGAACGGATTAATTTGTTTTCAATGCATTCCTATGGGAAACCGCGTTTCAGCTTACAAATTTTTCACAATACAAAAAAGTCCCGCAGAACAAATTAAATTTGTAAACCGAGCTATGCCTGTATATTTATACACAAGCAGTGTAAGTACCTGAATATGACCTGGCATCAGCCTCTTCCAGTCCCTGTACAGAAGAGCACAGCCTGGAAGGAAGAAGCAGCACAAGGAGTGTGACAGGAGTCACTTTGGGTGGGGGGCCCATGGAACCCAGCTCACTTGGAAGAGGTGGGGAGACCCCTGTCTCAGCTCCCCATATCCCTCTTATGTGTAAGTCACCCTGTGCCTGTTAGGGGTACAGGGTGATCTGTCTTAATATTGGGTTGGGGGGTTGTGGATTGTTTGGTGTTATGTGGCTGCATTCCATTGTTCTATTGTGTGTCTGGCTTGGGAGCAAACTATTATGGGATGTATGTGTTTATGTGTATTGGCTACATGTCTACACAATAGCAGGACAGATCACCCTGCATCCCTAACAGGCACAGGGCGACTTACACATAAGAGGGAGTTGGGGGGCTGAGACAGGGTTCTCCCCCACCTCTCCAAAGTCACTCCCATCACAGAACCCATGACCTGACGTGCTAACTACTAGGCCACTGTGCCGCCCATCTACTGTACATAGTGCTGCCTAAATTTCAGCAAAGAGTATCACCTCTCTCTGTTCCGCAGAAAGTTATGTAAAACCTCTTCATGCATTTCTAAACAAAATGAAATGCAACTTTTATATAATAAATCTATATGATCATTAACTATATGGCACACCTGACTTTCACACATAGATGAACTTGTTGGATGTCCAATTTCAAAACCCATGGCCATTAATATGGAGCCGGTCCTTCCCTTGTGGCTATAACATCCTCCAATCTTCTGGGAAGGTTCACCCACAAGATTTTGGAGGGTGTCTGTGGGAATTTGCTCCCATTTGTGAAGTCAGGTACTGATGTTGGATGAGTAAACCTGGCTTGCAGTGATGCCACTCTACCCCAAAGGTGTTCAGTTGAGGGTTGAGGTCAGGGTTCCACAGGACACTCCGTTCCTCCACACCAAACTGGTCACACCATGTCTTTATGGGGCTTGTTTATACAGAGGCACAGTCATGATGGAACAGAAAAGGGTCTTCACCAAACTGTTACCAGAAGGATGGAAGAGCACAATGGTCTACAATGTCTTTGCATGATGGGATCCCCAGTTGGTGGAGAACTAACATACCTTTGGCCTCCCTCCCACCTCAAATCATTGGTGCCAGAAGGATAGTGGCCACTAAGGAAACATAATCCCTCCTAAATGATTAATATCAGTGGTATAGTGACCCCCAGGAGAGACTAGAGACTTCCCCCAAAAAATCACCAGTGCCTGTGGGATCATGAAAATAGGAATCGTGATGTAGAATCATGAGAATAGTCACCCAAATTCACAGTGTTAGTGGGATAGTGGCCCCCAGGTAAGAATAGCCCCTAAATCATTCATGTCAGAGTGATTGTGGCTCTCAGGGTAGAATAGCTTCTCAATCTATTGGTGTCGGTGGCACAGTGACCCCAAGAGAGAACCCCTCTCCCAGATCATTGGTGTCAGTAGGATATTGGCCACCATGGAAGTATAGTCCTCCAAACCATTGGTGTTGGTGGGATCTTGGCCCCCAGTGGAGAATATCCCCTCCATTTATTGGTGTCTGTGGGATAGTGGACCCAGGAGAGGCTACCCCCCAAAAAAATCATCAATGTCAGTGGGGTTGTGGCCCCCAGGTGATAGTTGCCCTAAATCATTGTTGTCACAGCGATAGTGGACCCCCTGGGATAATACCCCCTCCCAAAATCATTGGTGTCAAGAGGGATAGTGGACCCCATGGGAGAATGCCCCCTCCCAAAATCATTGGTGTCTGTGGGATAGTGGCCCCCAGGAAAGTCTACCTCCCAAAAAATAATCAATGTCAGTAGGGTTGTGGTCCCCACGTGAGAGTCCCACTAAATCATTGGTGTCACAGCGATAGTGGACCCCCTGGGAGAATGCCCCCTTCCAAAATCATTGGTGTCAAGAGGGATAGTGGACCCCCTGGGAGAATGCCCCCTCCCAAAATCATTGGTGTCAAGAGTGATAGTGGACCCCATGGGAGAATGCCCTCTCCCAAAATCATTGGTGTCAGTGGGACAGAGAACCCAAAGGGAAAATGGCCCCCAAATCATTGATGTCATTGGTGGTATTTAACTTATCATAGGAGAGGTGCCAGGGTCGCCTGCTGATGATTGCCCAGTCAGGGTACTTATCCATTAAAAGTATTAGTAGTACTGTGGCTTTTTCGACAGCGCAATGGGTGGAGGCCCACGTCCTCCAAGGGGCCAGTCCAAGCCTGGTGGGACAGATAGGAGGCTATTGCTTAGAAAAAGAAAGACCACAGCATGGTGGCAGGCCGTGGCCCAATGAATGAGAAACAACTGATGAAGGCCATCACACTTCGTACTTTGATTTCCTCTGTACTGAGTTCCCGGGTCTGTACCCTGGCTGTGCCCACTATGAGGGGTTCCCACCATCCCTGTGCTGAGCTTCCGAGTCTGAACACCTGCAGTTCCCATCATAAGGGTTGAATTACCAGGTCCCTGCTTTGCCCCTTTTGAGGGGCTCCCCCCATCCTTGCGCTGAGTTTCCAGGTCTGTACACCTCCTGTGCTCATTATGAGGGGTTCCCACCATCCCCGTGCTGAGTTCCCGGGTCTGTACCACGGCTGTGCCCAATATGAGTGGCCCATTATGAGGAGCCAGCGTCACCTGCTGATGATTGTCCAAGTATTAGTAGTACTCTGGCTTTTTCGACTGCGCAATGGGTGGAGGCCCACGTCCTCCAAGGGGCCAGTCCGAGCCTGGTGGGACAGACAGGAGGCTAATGCTCAGAAGAAAGGCCACAGCATGGTGGCAGGCCATGGCCCAATGATTGAGAACCAATGAACAAGGCCATCACATTTCATACTTTGATTTCCTCTGTACTGAGTTCCCGGGTCTGTACCCCGGCTGTGCCCACTATGAGGGGTTCCCACCATCCCTGTGCTCCAAGGGGCCATGTCCCCCAAGAGGCCAGTCCAAGCCTGGTGGGACAGACAGGAGGCTATTGCTCAGAAGAAAGGCCACAGCATGGTGGCAGGCCGTGGCCCAATTATTGAGAACCACTGATCAAGGCCACCACACTTCGTACTTTGATTTCCTCTGTACTGAGTTCCCTGGTCTGTACCCCGGCTGTGCCCACTATGAGGGGTTCCCACCAGGGGCGGACTGACAACTCATGGGGCCCCTGGGCAATAGGGGATCATGGGGCCCCTGTATCCTTGCCCAAACTCAAAAAAGCCTATGAAAAATGTACCAGGGGCATCTCATGGGGCCCCCTACTGACCCCGGGCCCTCGAGCAGTGCCTGAGTTTCCAAATGGTCAGTCCGCCCCTGGTTCCCACCATCCCTGTGCTCCAAGGGGCCATGTCCTCCAAGGGGCCAGTCCAAGCCTGGTGGGACAGACAGGAGGCTATTGCTCAGAAGAAAGGCCACAGCATGGTGGCAGTCCGTGGCCCAATGATTGAGAACCACTGAACAAGGCCATCACATTTCGCACTTTGATTTCCTCTGTACTGAGTTCCCTGGTCTGTACCCTGGCTGTGCCCACTATGAGGAGTTCCCACCAGGGGTGGACTGACAATTCATGGGGCCCCTGGGTAATTGGGGATCGTGGGGCCCTGTGTCCTTGCCCACAATCAAAACACACCCAAAAAAGCCTATAAACGGTACCAGAGGCATTTTATGGGGCCCCCTACTGACCCCGGGCCCTCGGGCAGTGCCCGAGTGCTCCAAATGGTCAGTCCGCCCCTGGTTCCCACCATCCCTGTGCTCCAAGGGGCCATGTCCTCCAAGGGGCCAGTCCAAGCCTGGTGGGACAGACAGGAGGCTATTGCTCAGAAGAAAGGCCACAGCATGGTGGCAGTCCGTGGCCCAGTGATTGAGAACCACTGAACAAGGCCGTCACATTTCGTACTTTGATTTCCTCTGTACTGAGTTCCCTGGTCTGTACCCTGGCTTGATTTTCTTGGACTGACACTGGGGCCCCTGGGCAATAGGGGATTGGGGCCCCTGGGTCCTGTCAAAAAAGCCCCAGGGGCATCTCATGTGCCCACCCTTGAGCAGTGACGGTCAGTTCCCACCATCCCTGTGCTCCAAGGGGCCATGTCCTCCAAGGGGCCAGTCCAAGCCTGGTGGGACAGACAGGAGGCTATTGCTCAGAAGAAAGGCCACAGCATGGTGGCAGTCCGTGGCCCAATGATTGAGAACCACTGAACAAGGCCATCACATTTCGTACTTTGATTTCCTCTGTACTGAGTTCCCTGGTCTGTACCCTGGCTGTGCCCACTATGAGGGGTTCCCACCAGGGGTGGACTGACAACTCATGGGGCCCCTGGGTAATTGGGGATCGTGGGGCTCCTGTGTCCTTGCCAACAATCAAAACACACCCAAAAAAGCCTATAAACGGTACCAGAGGCATTTTATGGGGCCCCCTGCTGACCCCGGGCCCTCGGGCAGTGCCCGAGTGCTCGAATGGTCAGTCCGCCCCTGGTTCCCACCATCCCTGTGCTCCAAGGGGCCATGTCCTCCAAGGGGCCAGTCCAAGCCTGGTGGGACAGACAGGAGGCTATTGCTCAGAAGAAAGGCCACAGCATGGTGGCAGGCCGTGGCCCAGTGATTGAGAACCACTGATCAAGGCCGTCACACTTTGTACTTTGATTTCTTCTGTACTGAGTTCCTGGGTCTGTACCCCTGTGGAGGGGTTCTGTGGACCCACTATGACGGGGTTCCCCTTGCCATCCCTGTGCTACCAAGGGGCCATGTCCCCCAAGGGGCCAGTCCAAGCCTGGTCAGTGGGTTCCCACAGACAGGAGGCTATTGCTCAGAAGAAAAGAAAGGCCACAGCATGGTGGCAGGCCATGGCCCAATGATTGAGAACCACTGATGAAGGCCGTCACGCTTCGTACTTTGATTTCTGAATACGGCGTGTTTCATTTTTCTCAGTCGCCGGTCTCCTCCGTCATTACACAACACTCTGATATGTGAGGGCGACCAATTACCAGCAGCGAGCCAACAACCCAAATATCAGGTCAGCAGGTTAATGTGTTAAGTGGAGAAGCGCTTTCATGCAAAATTAATTCGATTTTTCTGGGTTATTTCTAATAGAGAAGTGGTGGGAGGAGAGGTCGCCGGGGATTGGCCGTAAGTGAATGTAATGAGCGCGTGGAATCGCAGATAATGGGGGCCGAGCCTCATCTAAGTGCAGTGGGCAGGAAAGGTCACACTCTGCGGTCAGATACACAGGATGACCTCAGTCCTCGGCGGCCAGATGGGCGACCACAGAAAAATAAAAAACAATCTTCTGCGCTCTCTAAATATTGTGCATTAAAGAAACAAATAAAAAGAACGAGGGACTCTAAGGAGACGGGAAAACCACAGAAACCAGGAAGAGTTATTTCAGTTTCCTGGCGAGGAATCGATGTACTGAGCGAAGAATTCGTCACATGGAATCCGAACTCCAACTGATTCGCCGGATGTGACTTCCAATATTCATTAAAGAGACGGCACACCCGAAAATGATATTTCAGCATACGGTACGTGCCGGAGGGTTCAACTCGCTTACAGCCCTTTTTATTTTTCAAAGATTATATCGCTAGCGGGATCCCTGTGCTGAGTCCGGGGTCTATATCCCTGCTGTGCCCACTATGAGGGGTTCCCGCCATCCCTGTGCTGAGCTCCTGGGTCTGTATCCCTGCTGTGCCCACTATGAGGGGTTCCCAATATCTCTGTGTTGACTTTCCAGGCCTGTACACCTGCTGTGCCCTTTATGAGGGGTTCCCACCATCCCTGAGTTGAGTTACCCGGGTCTGCACACCTGCTGTATCTATTATGAGGGGTTCCCACCATCCCTGTGCTGAGTTGCCAGGTCTGTACATCCACTGTGCCCATTATGAGGGGTTCCCACCATCCCTGTGCTGAGTTCCTGGGTCTGTATATCCCCTGTGCCCATTATGAGGGGTTCCCACCATCCTGTGCTGAGTTGCCAGGTCTGTACACCCGCTGTGCCCATTATGAGGGTTCCCACCATCCCTGTGCTGAGTTCCTGGTCTGTACATCTGCTGTGCCCATTATGAGGGGTTCCCACCATCACTGTGCTGAGTTGCCAGGTCTGTACACCCACTGTGCCCATTATGAGGGTCCCACCATCCCTGTGCTGAGTTCCTGAGTCTGTACACCCACTGTGCCCATTATGAGGGGTTCCCACCATCACTGTGCTGAGTTCCTGGGTCTGTACATCTGCTTGCCCATTTTGAGGGGTTCCCACCATCACTGTGCTGAGTTGCCAGGTCTGTACACCCACTGTGCCCATTATGAAGGGTCCCACCATCCCTGTGCTGAGTTCCTGGGTCTGTACACCCACTGTGCCCATTATGAGGGGTCCCACCATCACTGTGCTGAGTTTCCAGGTCTGTACACCCGCTGTGCCCATTATGAGGGGTCCCACCATCCCTGTGCTGAGTTCCCGGGTCTGTACACCCACTGTGCCCATTATGAGGGGTTCCCACCATCACTGTGCTGAGTTCCTGGGTCTGTACACCTGCTGTGCCCATTATGAGGGGGTCCCACCATCACTGTGCTGAGGTCCTGGGTCTGTACATCTGCTGTGCCCATTATGAGGGGTTCCCACCATCCCTGTGCTGAGTTCCTGGGTCTGTACATCTGCTGTGCCCATTATGAGGGGTTCCCACCATCCCTGTGCTGAGTTTCCAGATCCGTACACCTGCTGTGCCCATTATGAGGGGTTCCCACCATCCCTGTGCTGAGTTCAAAAGACATTAAGTACAAAAGACATTGCTCGCTGAGCTGTCATCAGCTACATAAGAGAAGGGACATCACTGACCAAATATGAATTCCCGGCCATGGAAGCCAATGTGCTGGTTATGATGGTGGTTGCTATGGATGCAGTGGGTGCCAGCACTCGCTTCTTCCTTAAGAACCATTGACAGCAGGAATCTTTTCACATATTGGAAGTGGTAGAAATATTCCTTCTATATATGATGTTTGGCTCCCGCCAAACTGGGGACCAAATGGGCCTTCACCTGTAGCTCTACCCCCTGAGGGGTTGCTGGATTTGAATGGGTCCCTCTAGGCTCTGCATGGCCAGGCAACACGCTTTTCCCACGCTTTCCGCACTAGAGTCAGTAAACAGTCCTTGAGCTTGGTTTGGTGATTTTATTAAGGGGTTACACTTGGATAGGGTCTAGGGGTATTGTCAGGGTCCTGTCCACCGCAGAAGTTCTGGAAGATTTGGCATTTCTGCCAGTACTCTGCATGGCCGCAGAAGTACACATCAGCCTCAGTTTGGTGCCAGACGGCCTTTATAAGGAGGCTCATCACTTCCTCAAGTTGCTGGATGATCTCTAGCTCCCTGTGCCTTGTTCCTGTGACTTTGGCCTGTGATGTCCTGTTACCAACTCGGCTTGCTCCTGGACCTGTCTACTCTGCTTTACCCCTGAACTGACCTCAGCTTGGCTTACGGATATTCTCTCTCTCTCTCTCTCTCTCTCTCTCTCTCTCTCCTCTGTGTATGACCTCGGCTATCCCATCTGACTACGTCTGCTCTGATTCCCACCTGGTACCTGACCTTGGCTTGAACCGACTACCCAGTAAACATCTAAATCCCGGAAGGGCTTGCATACCACGCACAGGCGCCTCCTGTCTGCAGACCTATCTCCGTGCCCCAGCTGTGCTTCTGAGTGGACCACCAACCAGCACTCCTACTGGCGACCTGTGCAACTTTGGGCCTGACTCACGCTGTCCCACTCTCAGGGGAGTCTGGAACTCAGCTGCAAGGGAAGCCCTCTCTCCATCACCAGGTACGTGATAGGTATATGGGATGCCCAAGGAACTGTAGCAACTATGTACAAAGATTCGGATTAGCAACAGTCTTTTCTTGAAGACCACTAACAGCTCTTAGGTGTACCTCCTAAGACCCTGGACAATTCCTCCTCTTCACCCAGCTGCATGAGGGTATCCCTGTGCAAGGGGGCCCAGAAGCTGTCAACAGCTAGAAGCTAGTTGGGTCTTGCACCTGACTGCCCTCTCCCCTTATTTGGCTCAGGGGGTTTAAGAATACTCACACTGTCCTCTCCTGTTAGCCCGGTGGGTTGATGGTTGCTTTCAAGCCTTACGCTGGGCTGGCTCCTCCACTGCTACACAGGCTGTCCTCTCCAGGAGGTGTTGAGAAAGTGGAGATCCTCTTCTCCAGCGACCTGCCTGTAGGTAGGATTCCCTCCCTGGGGCCCCTTCCCAGGCTCCTCATTACAGCCTTCCTTAATCCATCTTCCACCCAACGCTGCATACCTCCACCCCAGGCTCTGCCACATTTGATGGATGTCCTGGCCATCATGCCCAGCCTCCTGTCAGGGGATTGGTCAAGGTCCCTCAAACATGCAGATCTGGGTCTCCACCCCTCTTCCAGAAAACTCTTAGGTTTCTGGAAATGTGAGAGGGCTCCAGAAGCCCTGACCTTATAGATCATCCCAGCCTGTCCTGAGGTAACCTCACTACCTCACTCCCCAGGCTGACTCATCGCCAGGGTGCTACTCAACCTCTAACAATAAGCTACCTAACTAACCTGGAGGGTGTTACACATCTAAACACAAAAAGCCAAAGTTAGGTTCAGACCCAGGTTTTGACCAAGCTATAAGATGTTCCCTAGATGGAAGGTGGACCCTGCTGTCTCCGGATGTCTCTCTGATAGATTCTTCACTGCTGGCAGGTCTCTGTGAGGGTGTTAGGCCAGATGCAGCATGCAGTGCCATCGGCCTCCCCTCTCTAGCCTTCATCTCTTCTCTGATGGCCTTGTGGGTCTCAGCCACTCTGCAGCGTGTTCTTGGCTCTCAGCATAGCCTCAATCTCTCTCTATTGGCAGGCTCCTTCCTCCGTCCTCTGTACACAGCCCTTCTCCTTGGCTCCTGTGTCTAGGGGGCCTTCTCTTCTCTGCCAAGCACATAGATCCTCTTGGATCAGCCCGTTCAGCCCTTCTTCTTAGATTTCCTGGCGGGTCTAAAAGTCACAGGCACAGATGGAGCCAATCATGTGGCAGCTCTACCTTCCCTCTACTGGTGGCTTATCAGTCACTGGTGGGGTGGAAAGTTAACTGCAACACGGCCATCAAAATGATGAGCTGGGCTGGGTGTCTTCCGCTGGTTAAAGGGGCCGCCATCTAGGGTTACAAAAAAGTTGTATTAATGAATTTAATGGTAAACAATTCTCATAATACTGAATGTGCTAACTACAGTACTAAGCATGTACAGTCATGGCCAAAAATATTGTCGTCCCCCCCGGCATTTCTGTCAGAAAACGCACCAGTTCGCCCAAAAATTGTTGCAATTACAAATGTTTCGGCATTCTCATGTTTATTTCTTTTGTTTATATTGATATGACACAAAAAAGTGGACAAACAAAAAGCCAAATCTGACACATTCCACGTAAAAATGGTCTGGACAAAATTATTGGCACCCTCAATTTAACTTTTGGTAGCACTCCCCATGGAAAAAATAACAAAACTCAATCACTTCCTGTAACCATCAATGAGTTTCTTCCACCTCTCTACTGGAATTTTGGATCACTCTTCTTTTGCCAACTGCTCCAGGTCTCTCAGATTGG